GGCAAAACTCACTTAACAAATTTCTCACTTAGCAACATAAATTCTGGGCTCAACTGTGGTCATACGTTGAGGACTACCTGTATTGCCAAACCAGGCCAGGTCTCCCCATCCTATATTTTTGTAGCTCACATTTTTCTCCATTTTCCACTCCTTCCTGTTAAGTTTCTTCTCAGCCACAGCTGGGCACCTTCCTAGCCCCATCTCTCCCCGCATATGATTGTGAGTCAGTCCTACTGAGAGATGCAGTAATTATGGATGCAACAGAATTGCAATTGTGCCCTCGGCATCATTGTCAAAATGGAAAAATGGGGCACAGTGTGTTGAAATCGTCTGAAAGTGTAATGTGCAGGCTTCTTCTATGCCTATGTCCAATGCCATTGTAAAGTAACTTGCTAGTATCAGCCTTTGTTTTTCTAATACAGGGGTCTTCAAACTTGGCCCTTTGATGACTTGTGGACTTCAACACCCAGAATTCCTCAGCCAGGCACGCGTGCCTGGCTGAGGAATTCTGGGAGTCGAAGTCCACAAGTCATCAAAGGGCCAAGTTTGAAGACCCCTGTTCTAATACAATGGCTACTTCATGTAATCTGGGTTTAAAGTAAAGCAGGTTCAGAAATCTCATATTCTGTACTCATGTACTCCATCGTAAATAAATAAAATCACAGAACAGACAGTCCTCGCTTAATGACCAGTCACCTAATCACTCTTTGAAGCTGTGATGGACTTGAAAAAAAGCTATTTACAAGCCATCCTCAAAATTATGACTGCTGTACATAGACCCCATGCTGTCATATTATTCGCATTTTGGGCACTTGGCAACTAGCTCGCACTTGCGACTGGTTGCAGTCACGAGACCACAATTTGTCAAGGTTTGTACTGGTTTCCAGCAGGCAAAAGCTGCCTACTGGATATGCTGTATTTGCTTAATGCTCATGTAAATTGCTTAACGACCATCATAAAAAAACAATTGTAAAATCAAGTCAGTTCCAGGGGTAACCCACTAGCAACCGTAAGGACTCACATCCAAAATTCTGGGCTTAATTGTGGCTCTAAGTCAAGGACTACCTGAACAGCTTTTTCCAATGTTCTGATTCACACGCTATACTTTTGAGACAATAGCAGGGATCCCACAACTTGAACTATAGTTACTGGTTTAGCTTAGCTCAGGGGGATTTTTTAGCCAGCAGACTGATTCCTAAAGTGGGGGTTTCTAAGAAGACCATAAGCAGTCTATGAAATTAACAGTTTTCTCTGTTTCTACTGTTCTCCAGCAGCTAATTATAACGGTGGTGTACACTGCTTAGTAGTATGGAGGCTCTGTTTGGTCACCAAGGGGTAATGTTCACAGCTTCTGGAGGCAGGCTGTTCCACTGATTAATTGTTCTAGCTGTCAGGAAGTTTTTCCTTAGTTCTAGGTTGCTTCTCTCTTTGATTAGTTTCCATCCATTGCTTCTTGTCTTGCCTCCATACTGTTTAAAATGCTTTAGAGCTGGAAAGCCATCTAAACAAGGCTACCACTATACAGGGAGTCCCAACCATCCATTTAGTGACCAAAGTTACAACGGCACTGAAAATAGTGACTCATGACTGTTTTTCACACTTACGACCGTTGTAGCATCCGTATGGTTACGTGATCAAAATTCAGCCGCTTGGCAACTGGCTCATTTTTATGACGGTTACAGGGTCCTGGGGTCATGTGATCACCTTTTGCAACCTTCTGAGAAGCAAAGTCAATGGGGAAGCCAGATTCACTTAACAACCATGTTGCTAATTTAACAGCTGCACTGATTGACTTAACAACCGTGACATGAAAGATTGTAAAGTGGGACAACATTCACTTAACAACCGTTCCACTTAGCAACATAAATTTTGGGCTCCATTGTGGTCATAAGCCGAGGACTACCTCCTCCAAGTATTGGCTATTCCTGGCTTTCCACCTGCCCCCCCCCCAATGATAATGTTATGCTTTCCAGAGAGGAAGAAGAGGACCATTGACCATAACTAAAATTTCAATTTCTTCCCGCTAGGCAAATGATGCACAGCATCCTTCTTTTTAGTTCTGCTCCAATCTAATTAAACTCCCTAACTTTACTCCACTTATTATGATCCACTGACGGTCAAGACTGGTGACTGACATCCGGCTCTGCAGATCATCTCCCTATGAGCCAAGATTAACAGGGAATTCCACAGACTAAAGAAGAAACACCCAAGCAAAGCAATCAGAACACTGCTCCACTCCCAAAGGGACAGGCCATTGCCACATCCACCAGTTGATTTAGGCTAGATTGCACTGGTCTCCTAGCCACACCAACAAAAAAAACAGCAATTTTGAACACCAAGTGCTTTAATCCAGTAATCTTAGCCAAGCACCCCACCCCAGTCAAGGCTTGTCAACCTAGTCAACACTGAAGTCAAGAAGCTGCTAAATCAGGGGTGTCAAACTGCTGGCCCGTGGGCCGGATGCGTCATGCCAAAACCCCGCCCACCCCATTGCCGGCAATGGAAAAAAGGTCGCGATACGTCACGACATGTGACGTTGCGAGTTTGATACCCCTGTCTTAGATTGTCATTGAGATGTTGTCATAAACTACTATGAGTTTCATCTTGGCCTTCTGACACTGAGCTGAAATTAGAATGATGTCACTTTATTTTTTGCAACAACAATCCTTTTGGGTAGGATTAGACAGTAGAAATCTTCAAATTGGGATTGGCCTTTTTCTGCGGGAGCCCATCCTGTTCTCTTCTTCTACAGTTTCACATGGAAAGAGGTTTATTCCTGCTGTACAGAATCTTGAAAATGGTTTGTGAAATCAGTTTCCAAATATCTTTGAACTTAACAGAAAGCCTTAGCACCGTGGTGGTGAACCTCTGGCACGGGTGCCAGCAGCAGCACGCAGAGCCCTCTCTGTGGGCACGTGCACCGTTGCCCCAGACCTAGGCTTTCAGCTGGGTTTTATAAAACCTTTTCGCTTTAGGCCTCCGATGCCGTGTGCAAAAAAAAAAAAAAAAAAAAGGTTCAATCAATCAGTCAATTTCAATTTCTCAGGGAAAAAAAAAAGATCTCGCAAAGTTGGAATTGATTGATTGAACTTTTTAGCCCCAGTCTGGCATTAGCACCACAGCCACGCCCACCCAATGGGCGATGCCCACCCAATTGGCTACACCCATCCAATGGGCCACACCCACCCAATGGGCCACGCCCACCCGGCACCTGACCATACATAAGTGGGTTTTGGGTTGCAGTTTGGGCACTCGGTCTCTAAAAGGTTCGCCATCACTGCCGTAGCAAATTCCCCTGCCCCTGGAGAAACCGGAGACCCTGAGCTCAAAGTTTGAAAAGATTTATAAACTGGTAAAGATATCAATGCACCGGGCTTCAAGCAGCAAAGAAAACTTACTGCTGGTAGCTAATCATACCATTAGCAAATTAGTTTATATTCTTATAAATTTCCAAGATTAAGTCGCACCTGGAAGCATTTCCATGGTCAGACCTCAGCCATAATGAAAGAAGAGCAAGGAAAATTATATATATGGCATTAGAGTTGCCATGTCATTTCTACCGATAAGTAACTAAGAACTAAGTAACTAAAAACTAAGTAAGTAACTAAGGGGCGTTGGCTTACCTGAACACTGCATGTTTTTAAGAAGCGACTGGACAGCCACTTGTCTGAAATGGTATAGGGTAGTGGTGACGAATCTATGGCACGTGTGCCAGAGGAGGCACTCAGAGTCCTCTCTGCGGGCACGCGTGCCGTTGCCCCAGCAGAGTTTGCCAAAGTAGACAGCACATGGCGTTTGGAAGTGACAGGAAGTAAGCGGCGTTGGTCCCCTGGGGATGCCCCGAAGATGGCGAGGGACTGGCCCCGACCACGCTCACCCAGTCTGCTGTGACCACAGCAGCCATGCCCACCCAGTGGGCCACACCCCCCACCCCCCCTGAGGGCACCACAATGTTGATGCAGCCCTGGCACTTTGCGATAAATAAGTGTGTTTTGGGTCGCAGTTTGGGCACTCGGTCTCTAAAAGGTTCGCCATCACTGGTGTAGGGTCTCCTGACTGAAGAAGGGTCTGGACTAGAAGACCTCCAAGGTCCCTTCCCACTCATTCCATTCCATTCCTCCAGGATGCAATGCTAAACAAAATTAAATAGTACCCAGAACTATGAAGATTTGGAGATACTCTGAAGCACATGCAGGGGTCACCAGGTTGGGAAAGACCAAAATAGGTACTACATTGCCGTTAAGTCCACAGCCTTAAACCATGTTTGCATAAAAACTACTTTGGAATTAAGGCAGCATCCAACCAGGGTTGTTTTTCAAACCCAGTATATCAATGTATGGGATGATAAATCATATAATTAATTGTATAACTCCAGCGTCAGTTATTTTATTTATTAAATGTTTATTAATTACATTTATATGCTGCCCACCTCACTGTTTGGAGACTGTGGGCAGCTTACATTACAAAAGCTGAACTACAAATGTTAAATACTAAAAGTTAACAGAAATTAGGTATTTTAAGAACCAGTATACAGATGGGGTGGAGGTGGGGTCAGTTATGGTTTAGCAATCAGAGAATCTGGGCCTCCCTGGTAGAGTTCTTATTTCTAGCATAGGTCAAATCACTCTCAACAACTTTTAAGTTTTAAGCACAGTTTCACTTAGCAACGCATTTCATCGTGCAGGAAAAGGGGACTCTACAGAAGCAAGGGGCATGGGACCTGGGAAATCAAGTGCAGTACTTGGGATTGTTTGACATGCCGGAAGTATTTTCCTATGAATTTTGAATGCTGCAAGGTGAGCTGCGAACTTAGCGTAAGGACAGCCTACCTGAGTAACACACAGGGCCATTTTAAGGCCAGCATTTTGCTGCCTGCTACATACAGAAGGGCAAATATTTCACCTGTTGGAACATATGTAGCTGTTGCTTTAATTATAAATATATAATTATACACACACACACACACACAAATATATAAAATATATAGAAGATGTATCTACCTGCTCCGGATGTTCATGAGTCCTGAAGGAAGAATCGTAAAATTCTTTTGTCAGGGTGATCGAAAGTCAAGGAACCTACCAAGAAGACAAAGAGGGTGTTGAACTTACATGAATTTTAGATATCCTGGCCCCCTCACATTAGTAAGTGGTTAGAGTGATGGTGCAAAAGCAGAAATAAAGTACAAGCCACCTGATTTGAAACTGGCTTATTGCAGACTAGAATGTCATTTTTACTGCATAGTTTCAATCTCTTTGAGATCAACAACAGATATTCTAATGCTCCCCCCACCCATGGATTGCCTGCTTAAAATCCAATGACTAAAAAAAAAGCTACCTACTTAATTCACATCCGAGATCCCAAAGTACCCAATTTTAACTCTTTTAAGGAAGTGGGGTCCACTTCCCCCAAACAGAAGCCCTACACGACCTCATCTCAAATTGCAGGAAGTTTTTCTATTGAGATTTATGATGCTTAGTCAAGTCATCTAGCCCAGTAGGCAACCTTGGCTCTTTTATGACTCGTGGCTGGCTCAGGAATTCTGGGAGTTGAAGTCCACGAGTCATAAAAGAGCCAAGGTTGCCTACCCCTGATCTACCCTATAACAAGTAGACATCGACTTGCAACTAGTATTAAGATCAGAATTTTACACTGCTAAGCAAGACAGTTGTTAAGTAAGCCAAGCCTGATTTATGACCTTTTTTTGGCCATGGCTGTTAAACAAATCATTGTTAACGTGAATCATGTGGTTGTTAAGCAAATCTGGCTTTTTCTACTGACTTTGACAGGGGAGGGGGAAGCTGGCTGGGTAGATCACAAACGGTGATCACATGTTCCTGGGATGCTGCAACCATTGTAACTACATGTTGATTGCCAAATTCTAATCACATGACCGTGGGAATGCCACCGCAACAGTGCGAGGATCGGTTGCAATCCACTTTATTCAGGACTGTTGTAATTTCAAACAGTCGTTAAGTCAAGGACTTACTGTACTGCATTTCATCTGCCAGCAGTCCTTTGTGGCTATCTGACATACCATAATTGGAGGAACTGGAGTTGAACCTACTATGTCAGTGGTGGCGAACCTATGGCACGCATGCCAGAGGTGGCACTCGGAGCCCTCTCTCTGGGCACACGTGCCATTGCCCCAGCCTCGCCTCCCCCCATGACCCCCTCCTCACCAGCAGCCCCCCTGGAGGAGAGTCGCCCCCGAGCATGGCCCACATGAAGCAGCGCAGCCAAGGACATGACAGCCAGGCAGCGTAGACATGACCCATCCCGCACAGTTGATGCTGTGGGGTGCAGGCAGAGGGCATGGCCACCATGGCACTGCTGGGCTGCCTGAGCGATCTGCGGTGGGCCCTGGAGGCAGTGAGTGGCCCTGTGGGCAGGTGAAGTGGGCCCTGGGGGGGTGGAGCAAAGATGGGGTAGGGGGTGGAACAGGGGCGGGGCCAGTTTTGGGGCACTCGGTCTCTAAAAGGTTCATCATCATTGTACTATGTTCTAAATGTATCATTTTGTCCCAGAACTATGATTATAGGAGAATCGGCTGTGAATTTTTGTTCAAATAAATCTTGCTCAGAGTCATCTTCTTTGTTTGTCAGCGGCTCACTAGATTCTGGGAATGCAGAATCAAGTAAGGCCCGACCATGGAGTAATACAGGTAGTCCTCGACTTACAACAGTTCATTTAGTGACCATTCAAAGTTACAACAGCACCGAAAAAAGTGACTTATGACTGTTTTTCACACTTATGATTGTTGCAGCATCCCCACAGTCACGTGATCAAAATTCAGACACTTGGCAACTGACTTGTATTTATTATGGCCGCAGTGTGCCCCAGGGTCATGTGATCACCTTTTATAAACTTCTGGCAAGCAAAGAGAGGACAAGAAGCATCAGATGGAGACTAACCCAGGAGAGAAGCAACCTAGAACTAAGGAGAAACTGCTTGACAGTTAGAACAATTAACCAGTGGAATGACCTGCCTCCAGAAGCTGTGAATGTTCCAATACTGTAAGTTTTTAAGAAGAGACTGGACAGCCATTTGTCTGAAATGGTATAGGGTTTCCTGCCTGAACAGGGGGTTGGACTGGATGACCTCCAAGGTCCCTTCCAACTTGATTATTATTGCTTCTTTTCCCTGGGCTGACAGCAACTGGCCGAAGATCACCCAGGTGGCTTTGTGCCTAAGGCAGAATTAAAACTCATGATCTCCAGGGTTTTTTTTTTAACCTGGTACCTTAACTACCTTACCTGTAGTCTCTTTTCTTTCAGTTTGACACATGTTAAGGAAGGATAAGGAGGCTTTTTTCTAGCTCTATTGGGAATGGAGGTTTTTTGAACACAGGCTTACAGTGCCATGCCCAAAGGAAATTGAAAACACGGAGCTCCTGAAAAGCAGGTAAGAGGCTGGCTGAGCTAAGAAACCCAGGGTTTAAGACTACAACCTGACCTTACCCTAAGTAGCCCAAAGCTAGCAGTTCTTTCAGGCATAGACACTCTTGAGTTGGCAAACTGGGAATTATGCATGGCCCACCTGATGAAGTTACTCAGAGGGTATCAAAACATTCCTACACGCTTAAAATGTGCTTGTCCCAGCACTGGCCTTGCTACGAGTTTCACAGAAAAATTCCATTTCTCTGAAGTACAAAAGAACATCACCCAATCTAATTTGCATTATATAATCCCTTTCAATATGTATCACAGAATTCTTTAGGTTAATCCACACAGGGTAGACTGTCTCCCTGCTTTATTATGGTTCCATGGCAGAACAGAGCCTCTGCAGGCTGAAAACCCTGGTATCCTGGTATATCAATCCCTGGTATCTTGGAAAAAAAGACGGAAAAGGCCCCCAAACTCTAAACTCTGGTACAATCCATAAATGCAAATATCAACTGCCAGAATTCTCAAACACTACTATTCTGTTTGGAAAGGGAAGGCACCATTTTGGGGCGACTTGGGTGTGCTCCATTCCAGCTTAGGATTCTGGGAATCCTGGTCCCAAGACCTCTGGAGGGCATTCAGTTGTGGAATGCTAGAGTAGACCTTATGACTAATCAATCAGTTGTTTAAATTACAATGTTCATGAGAAAGTCTACACCCTTTTTCCTTGCTTTTTTTTTTTTAATGAAACATGCGCATTCCTCTTCTAGTTTCCTTTGTCTATTTAATTCAGCGGGACCCAAAATGCTGGGGGAAAAAAAAACCCTCCTGGGTTTTTAAACTTTTACTGTAATTTGTTTGCCTTGGATGAGGAAAAAAAGGAGCCATCAAACCAATTCAAAGATTGAGTCAAACTTTCTATGAAACCCCCTTTCCCTCCATATAGGGGCTTCAGGACAGCTGCCTGAATTACCTTCCCCAACACATATGAAAAATAAAAGTCCCTGGAAAATGTATATCCGTGTCAGATAAACTTTTATCTAAAAATGATAGGAGACTTCCTAATTAAATAGTGCTCCTCACCCATTTTTAAAGACGCATCACAGAAGTTAGCATGGGGAGCTGAGCTGAATTCCATAGCCTGTGAAATTTCCTTCTCCTTTTTAACAGGAACCCAAATACCTGCTTTTCAAGGCTCCACTGGCAAGCCTAAAAAACCCTCCGCAGAAACAAAATGCATGCCGCCGATCTCGGAAGCCTGGGGTGGGGCAGGGTTTTCACTGGCTTTAGCAAACCTTTCCTGCTGCCCCACTGGCCTCCTGCAGCACACAGACAAATTTCAGCAGGAGCCAAATACATTTAAATGGTGGAAGTAACCCCATAGAAATTGGCAAAAAAAAAAATATATCTTTTTTTTAAGCGATTATTTACTCGATTAATATCCAACATCTTGTTTCCCCTATTCAATCCAAAATCAGTGTCTCTTAAGAAAACGGTTTGACAGTATTACTTACACAGAGAGAGAGAAAGAGAAAGAGAGAGAAAGCGGAAAAGATTTGGAAACAAAAGTTGAACCACCAAGCTCTTTCCTCCCACCCAAGAGCAAAGCCAGCCAAACGCAAGACACCGTAGAGAAAACAATGCCCCGAACAGAAGACGAAGCTAAGAGTGAGTTAGGAATCTTAATTCCGTTTCTTCAGAAAAGATCCTGGGGAATTCAGGGTGGCAAAGAGTGTGTCTCCCCCACAAGGCGCTTCACTTCACTTCCCCAGCTCCCTGCCTTCTCCTGACCCACACGCTGCTGCTTACGAAGAGGAAATTACCAGCTGAGTGGAGGCTCAGGGCCCTGCCCCACTTCGTAGCTTCCCCTCCTCCTCTTCCCGGCAGGGAAGCCTGGCGAACTCCGAGTCAACTTCTCACGCAAAGAGCTGCCGCCGCCGCGTACATCCTCCTCCTCCTCCTCCTCCTCCAAAAGCTTAGTGGCCAAGGAAAGAAGGGGCTCAGTGCTCGGTGGGAGAGACCCCCCCCTTCGGGGTGAAGTGATGGTGGAAGGAAGAAAGATACCCCAGCGTGGAATGAGGTTATCTATGCATTCAACTGTCACATCAGAGACTGGAAGCTGTTTCCAGTGGGCGTTCCGAAAAAAAGTCAGGGAGAGACTCCGGGAAGAAGCTTCCTCCTCTAAGGGAGCCAATAAACAAGGCCGGCTCTTGCCCCTCTAAGCTGGCTTACGCTTCCGGAGCACTTGCAGGAATGACCTTAGGACTCGAGAGAGAGAGAGAGAGAGAGAGAGAGAGAGAGAGAGAGAGAGAGAGAGAGAGAGAGAGAGAGAGAGAGAGAGAGAGAGAGAGAGGTAATTGTGCTAAAGAGGCTGGATTTACAAAGAAGACCAGGCCCTGAAGACTTACACAGCAAGGCAGAAAGGAAAGGTGAACTGGGTATATTTAGCAGGCAGCAACGAACCACAAAGGGTCACTTTTTAAACTGATAACTGACGGGCTACAGAACTCTACTGAAATGATCATCTGGAACAAAGATTACAACTTTCTAGTTGAAGGATGAAAAATAGTTACAAGGAAGGATGCGTTAGAGACAAAGTTACAGCACACTGGAAAACAAGATCAGGCAATCTAACATTTTTGGACTGCGGTTGCATTTTTTTCTTCTTTTGTTAGTTTTAAAGCTTGGGGATG